CCTAGAGTTGTACATGGAAGCAACTGGAAGCCGCATTTGAAGGTGGTTGAAAAGTCCCGCTATTTTAATATTCAGCAACTTTAGTGTGAATTGCAATAACGTGCTCTTGGAGTTTCATCTGAAGATGTCAAAACCAGATTACCAAAAAGCCTGAGGAGCTGTCTCCATGGACAGAGCCTGGGGAAGTGAGACGCAAGTTTGCAAATCAGTACGTCAGTGACTTGGGATTGGCAACAGACTCAGAAACTTGGCCACCGCTCGTCCAGTTCCTTTGTAATCAGTTCTTACAGGATTTCTTTCTTTCTTTCTTTCTTTCTTTCTTTCTTTCTTTCTTCTTTCTTTCTTTCTTTCTTTCTCTTTCTTTTTTCTTTCTTTCTTTTTTTTAAGTTTTATTTATTTTGAGAGAGAGAGGATGAGCAGGGGAGGGGCAGAGAGAGGGAGAGAAAGAGAAAGAGAGAGAGAGAGAGAGAGAGAGAGAGAATCTCAAGGAGGCTTCATTCACACTGTCAGTGCAGAGCCCAATGTGGGGCTCGAACTCATGAACCATGATTGTGACCTGAGCCGAAATCAGGAGTCAGACGTTTAACTGACTGAGCCGCCCAGGCGCCCCAGTTCTTATGTGACTTCTAGTCAAATCAGATCATCTTTATCATCGATTATTTGAAAATAATAATTTTAGTAATGTTTATTAATTGTAATATGTTGATTAGACATTATATTATGGTGTAACAGTAATAATATATGCTAGACACACTCCACCTACATTCTCTATGCTTATCCTACTTACACCACAAAGACCCCTGTTTGGAGGCGGTGTTTACAGCAATTAAGGGAATGACCTCTGGTGACAAACCGTGTGCTTTCAAACACGGGTACTGCCAGTTACCGCGTGTGATCCTCATCTATAAAACAGGGGTGATAATGGCATGCACTTCACAGGGCTTTTGTGTAACTAAATGAGTTCACATGTGGAAAGCCTCTAGAACTGTGCCTGGCACGTCCTAAGTGCTGTGTAAGTGCTGTTACTTGTTATTGTTTGGTTCCAGTGTGTGCAGCCGGCATTAATCACTCAAGACGTGGTTTCCACCAATGAGAACAGCGTTTTTTTTCCTCCCCATGACTTATTCATTCCCAAACTGGAAGCCTGGGTGCCCTGCTCTCCGAGGGCTAGCATTCTTTATCAACAACAACAGGCACTAGCCTGACCGTTGACCACTATCCATCCTCCAACTGTTCTGTTGGTGTATAAAACAGCTCCAAAATGGCGGCAGTGAATTTCTTGTGAGAAAGTGGTTTTTAAAAAAAAAATTTTTTTTTATTTTTTAAATTATTTTTGAGAGAGAGAGATAGAGAGAGAGAGAGAGAGAGAGAGAATGCAAGTGAGGGAGGGGCAGAGAGAGAGGGAGACACAGAATCTGAAGCAGGCTCCAGACTCTGAGCTGTCAGCACAGAGCCTGATGCAGGGCTCGAACTCGATAACTCCAAGATCGTGACCTGAGCCGAAGTTGGACGCTTAACCCACTGAGCCAGCCAGGCACCCCAGGAAGTGGTTTTGAAAAAGCTTCTGGGGAAAACTCCCTTGTGAGCAGACAACCCTGAAGGGACAGCCATTCCCCCAGAGTCATGCTCAGTGAATCCCCTGTGCAGCGTAGCGTTCCCTAGAAGCGGCTGAAAACTTCTGAGGAGCCACAGGATGGCACCTTGTTCTCTGGATCCCTGTGTGTTCTTCTCACTGTGCAGTCTCAGAAGTGCTGGGCCCGGCCCTTGAGGCCATATTCTTTCAAGATGTTTGACCTTGGTCATTAAACCTGTCTTGGTTCTCCCCCAGGCTGCCCTTGATCTATACTGTTTAGTGCCACGGCAGGATATTAAAGTGGCACCCTCTGTTAAGAAAATAGTCTTGAAACTAGAGAAGATCTCGTAACAGGGCACACAGCAGAGCGTGGTTGCTTAGTAAAGGTATTCTTGAAAGCCAAAACCCCTTCCTTGGCCTGCCCTGGGGTGTTCTCAGACCATCTTGCATAGTGGATGAAGTCACACCCTTTGGGCTGCAAAGCACACGTGACTTCTGCCAGGACACTGTGCCCGCTGCCTCCTAACTGCAACCAGATCTGCCACTCGCCTTTCAGAAAGACAGCTAAACCTGCCAGGCGTGGCCTGCTGGCCTGTTTAATTGAAAGACCAGACCACGCTGAATTTAATCCAGTTCAATTCAACAAATATTCATTGAACACCTCTATAGGCCTTTAATCACTTATTTTCTTTCCTATCAATAAATCGCTGGGTACATATTGCCATGAAACAAGAACATCTGCAGAACCAGACTACCTTAACGTTGTTTTCTGATAACCTTGGTCCTCCCCAAACGAATTCGGAAGTGCCTGTGGTTTTTGGCTCATTCTAGAAATGGAATGTGGCTTGCCCTCTAGCTCTCACCTCTTGCAGGTTCGCCTCGGTGTGGTAGGTTTGGACTGGGGCCCAGACACAGCTTTGTTTGGTTTGGGGTAAAGTAAGGGGCGCTCGAGTTTGAACGCTGACCAGGTCTGACCTGGTCACAGGATAGTCTGTAGCGCCTTCCTCCCAACAGGAAGCAAGCTATGGATCCATCCTGTTCTTAGGGGGGCAGGAGGAGTGGGGGAGGGTGGCACTGTCCAAATTAGAGTAAGTGGTGAGCTGGTCTTTCAGCCTCATGAATACCAACTTTGTACTAAGGACCTAGTTCGTTAATCAGCAAATGAAGTGTTTTGGAGCTCACGGGCAGGATGGTGGGGGCACTTGAGGACGAATGAGAGAGACAATACTGGACATCGTAGTTTTGTCTGCCTCTCTTCTCCTTCCGCTGGGAAATTTTTTCGTCTCTATCCTAGGTGTTTCCACTGGATTGTTTGTTAATAATAGAGCCTCATTCCCTGACTGCCTTAGGCAGTTAGTGCTGCTGTAACACAGTGTCATAGACTGAATGGCTTTAAGGCAACAAAAATTTATTTCTCACAGTTCTGGAGGCGGGAAGTCTGGAATCAGGTGCCAGCGCAGTTGGGTTCTGGTGAGAACCCTCTCCAGGTTGTAGACTGCCGACTTGTATCCTCACATGGCAGAGAACAGAGACGAGCAAGCTCTTTTGTGATCTTTATAAGGGCACTGACCTCATTCAGGAGGGCTCTGTCTTCACAAACTCCTCTTATCCTAATTACCTTCCAAAGGCTTCCCCCCGCAACACCGCCACACTGGGAGGCGGGTTTCAAGATATGAGTTTTAGGGGTACGCAGATATTCAGTCCATGATGCTGACCCTGGGCTTCGACCAAATCCAATCTTTCTCTCACAAGGATTGGACCTAGCCTTGGGCATACGGCCTAAGTAAGGTCAATCATATCCTTCCATGGGAGCTGGTATATGGGCACTGGGACAGATTTAGGGCCTCTTGCTTTTGTGTGTAGAGAAAACCTGTGATAAGAGAATGAGGCCAGTATACAATATACAAATGAAGAGAGGTAAGCAGAACAAAGAGATGGAAAGAGAGAGAGAAAGAAAAAAAGGACATTGTTATTATTTGAGTTCCCGTGCCTGAAAAAACCCCACCCTTTAACTTCCTAGTTTATGAGCCACTAAATCTACTTTTCCATGTAAGGTTGTTTACATTGGGTTTCTTTCACTTTTGATGGAAAGGTGCCTGACTAACATATAGGGTTTAGGGACCAATAGTACATACAAGGTTTAGCTATTCCTCAACTAATGGCTTGGCTTTGGCAATCTCTTAACTGATCTACATACCTCTTTCCTCACTTGTAAGTGGAGTTAAGTGTGGCTACAGTGGAGGGCACACAGTGCCTCTTAGGAAATGTATGTGGAATAGTAGGAATAATGTATGTGGAAAGTAGCTAATAATATAGGGATAGTATTGGGTTTAATCCTATGAAACTTCCAATATATGATCATGTTTTGTCCTATAAAAGAAGCAGCTTGGTGTGGTTAAACTGCTAGCAGATTTCGTTTACTGAGCAAGTAGAACCCCATTGTCAGTTAACAGTGATTGTGAGGACCTACTATGCACAGGCTTTGTGCTAGAGGCTGTGGGGGAATTAAAGGTGGAGAATACAAGGTCCCTGTGCTCAGGGAGACCACAGCCAGTGACGGACACACAACTTACTAAGAAACCATTGCTAAAGTGTTGGCCTCACCCTAGAAACTATTGAAAAAGTCTAGTGTTGGCTTTTTTTTTTTTTAAGATTTCATCTTTATCAGTGAAATGTGTCTCGTACAATCTGAGAAGGATGTAGATAGTGTCAAACTGAAAGAAGAACTCTGACATCACACTTCCTAGAACTCCTCCTTTTGCAACTTCTCTCTTTGAATCCCTTTGGAACTGTCACTCGTCAGCCCAAAAGAGTCAAGGATCAAGGAAAATGCTGAACACAAGATGCCTTTTCAGTCATCTCTGTGCCGATTCACCCTGTCTGCATGAGAATTTTCGCCTTTTGTCCCTTTTGTCTGGGAAAGAACCAACTTAAACTCTTATCTGTGCTGGCTCAAATCCCCAATTTACATCAAGCAGAGGCTGAAGAATAATAATGGGACACAGCCAACGAATAATGCAAATTTTGCCATGACTTTAACCCACACGTGACTGGGTTGTCCCACGATGTGGCATTTGAGGTGCATTTTTATGTCCATATTTCTTGCTGTAGATTTCTAGTGCAGCAGTCTGGTGTGACGGCTGATTCGAAATACCGCAGTTTCAGGATGTTTGTCCATCAATTCTCCTGCACATAATGTGTACTTAAGACAGAGCCAGAGCCTTGCAATTTGCCCAAATCAGGCTGGCTGCTGATCTCACGTAGGAAAAGAATCACCCACGGAGAGCACGGTTCTTACCCTTCTCTGAGCGGCCATTTGGTTAGCTTTCCTTTGCTGACTCACTGGGGCCTGAGGACTTCTTCCTAGGAAGGGAGTCCTTCTCAGCTTTGAGTAAACAGCATTCTCTTCTTTTCTTCTGTATTTTAGGTCCTGTTTCCTCCTTTTACTTAAAAAAGTCACCTTCATGTGAAATAACCTGCTATTTTGCCAAACCGGTCTGTCAGTATAAGGAAGCCTGGGAATGCCTTAGCGGACCTGTAGAGTAAGTGCTCTAATATATGTACGATGGGCTGAAAGTAAAAATGCGTGTGGGAAAGGCCATAGTTACTAGCATGCAACCCTGATGTTTGGGTTTATCTTTTGTAAATAAGAGAGATGTTCTTCTTCTACGTGTACATAAACACAACAGTTTAGTGTAACCCAAACTGTGCTGTGCGGCCTCAGAGCTCCTGTGGCTTTGCCAAAGCCTCCTGCTCGTGTACACACATTTCACACGGGGTCCTTCCCGTTGCCAAAGGAGCTCGAGTCACTTTTTTGTGAATGTCCTGTGATTGGCAGGAAGGCTGGCTGTTGTAAGTATCATATTGTTCCGTGGTAGAGAATATATTTTATTGCTAGTTCAATAGCATTTCACAGTTATTAAGCCAGAGTCATTGTCTCTGCAAGCTCCCGAAGGCTCAGAAACTTTGGGGCACAGGCAAAAAAACCCCACACATGCTCAAAACCTGTCAGTTATCCCCATTGTCCCACTGTGGCTGTCATACTCTGCCTGCGGTGTTTAAAATGTTTGGGGGGAAATGTTGAGAAAGTGGATTTCTAAGCATATCATGTATAGCCATTTTTTTCATAAAGAAGAATTTATCAGAAATCACATTTGTTTTGCAATGCTTAAAAATAAGAACACTTGAAAAATGGCACACCTATATTATTACAACTGCAGATTAAAGCAGGTAGATTAAAAAAAAAAATGCTTGCAGCATTAGCAGATAAGGCCAATTTTCTCAAAAACTCCAAGATAAATGCCTGCCTGAAACCATGGCTATGCCCAAGTAAAAGGATCCAAGCAGGAGATGGATGGATGCGATTGGGCGGGGAACACATATATTTCTCTGTAAGAGCTCCCCCAGCTTAACTAGCAGATAATGAAAATATCCCGGGTGGATGACCTTGTACAATTGGCAGGTGTTAGGTGATAACTGAGAGCTTTGCCAGGAGAAAAAGGCAGCCCCCTTGGACAAATCTACGAGCTCCTGTGAGGAGACAGTGTGGGATCTTGGCTGTTTCTGTAGGGCAAATATGACATCCCAACAGGAGCACATTGTCTTATGTGGGTCACCCCCGGTAAGAAGCACTTAGGATCTTCCACAAACACCCAACTTCCTGGAAATTTGATTAACATTTTGTTATTTTTCCTGACAGCGCTGAGCCGGTTCCTGCAAATTTTGCCCTCTTCAGCTCTTTGTGTGCTTTCTGTATTGTTTTCTTTTTCTTCTTGAGACCAGAGTTTGTGAGGCCCCGAGGACCACACCGACACTGCAGTCGGTGGATGTTCAGTTAATCTTCTGCCGAAAGGAAAATGTATTCTTATTTCTCTTCAAGTGTCTGTGGCAACAACAGGGTGTGGGCAGAAACCTGTGTTTATCTAAACGAGAACAGAATATCTATGACCTCTCTTAGTGCTTCTGGCCAGCTCTTCTCTAATGATGCCACTCTATGGCTGGTTTCTAATATTTTTCTAGAAGTAATTGCAACTTTAAAGGAACATACTCTGTTCCCTGTTTAGAGGAACATGCCTGGGAGGAGATATACCCAAATGGTAGATGGTTATCTCTAGGGGGTTAAGGTCATTTTTTTTCTTTTTTTTTTTAATGTGTTTCTGTATATTCTGAATTAGTACTTACACTAAAAAAAGGCGGCGGTGGGTGGTGGTGGGTATTTTGCCAACAACCCTTTCCACAAGCTTCTCAGTGTTTTGGTGATTTTTAATGGGGTTACTTGTAAAAAGATTGTGTCTCCAAAGAGGATCTGAGTATAAGGACTTAGTCTGCTACCTACATTAGGGCATCACTTTGAATAAGTCAGGATTCCTCACGTATAAGATAAACCTACACTGGTAGAAATTATGGCGAGAATCTAATGGCGGGACGTATGGAGAAGACTATGATACATATAAAGTGCTCCTCAGTGGGAGGAGCAACAATAGCAATCATTTGTTTGCAAGGAATCAATGGGGCAAATGTAGACCAAAAAATCTGCAACAAGGGAATGAGCACCCTGGTGACCTGAAACACACAATATTATACTTCGGTTAGCATGGATGGAAGAACCCTTTCCAGGAGCCTTCCAATTTGTGCAAGCAGTTTAATAGTCTTAGCACCAGCTTCCAGCACTGTTTTGTGAAGGGAAAGTGTGTGTGTGTGTGTGTGTGTGTGTGTGTGTGTGTGTTGATAACCAAAGTGCCCACATGTAATACACAGGGACATCAAACAAACAACATTTAAAAGTAATCATTGGAGTGCCGGGGTGGTTCAGTTGGTTAAGCATCCAACTCTTTTATTATTACTACTATTTTTTGAAAACTTTTTTTTAATGTTTATTTATTTTTGGGAGAGAGAGGCAGAGTACAAGTGGAGGAGGGGCAGAGAGAGAGAGGGAGATACAGAATTCAAAGCAGACTCCAGGCTCCGAGCTCTCAGCACAAAGCCCGATGCAGGGCTAGGACCACGATCTGCGAGGTCATGACCTGAGTTGAAGTCAGACGCTTAACCGACTGAGCCACCCAGGCGCCCCTATTATTATTTTTATTATTTATTTATTTTTTGAGTTTTATTTTATTTTATTTATTTTTTAATTTACATCCAAGTTAGTTAGCATATAGTGCAATAATAATTTCAGGAGTAGATTCCAGTGAATCATCCCCTATGTATAACACTCAGTGCTCATCACAACAAGTGTCTTCCTTAATGCATCCAACTCTTGATTTCAGTTCAGGTCATGGTCTCGTGGTTTGTGAGATCGAGTCCTGCATCTTTGGGCTCTGTGATGACAGCACGAAGCTGCTTGGGATTCTCTCTCTCTCCCTCTCTCTGCTTCTCCTCTAGTCCTGCTCTCTCTCTCTCAAAATAAGTAAACACTTAAAAAAGGTAATCAATACATAAAACCCCACTACCTGACTGATTCAAGCGGTTTTTAAAGACTGTTTTATGTGGGGCCAGAGGTTTGGTATACTGTCACAGAAAGGTAAAAATCACTAGAAACAGAAACCAAAAGCAAACAGAAATAACAGCCGTCTCTCACGGAACACCCAGCCAATCTGCTGGATGAAATAGCTCTCCAGTGACCCAACTGCAGTGGTGTTTCCTCGCTGTAAGGAAGAAGTGGAAGACAAGGCACGGCCGTGGTGACGATAAACTGTCTTCTGGGAACAGAGGCAGGTTGAAAAACCAGTGCATATGTGGGAATACCTTGACCGTCCCCGAAAACACCGGACATTCCCCGGTCTTGTTGAAGATGTCCTGCCTGCACGGGCTCAGAATCATGTTCAATACAGCCCACGTGCTGGAGCGGGGTGCTCATCTCAGGTCTGGACTGTCCAGCAGGTAAGGGGTTACGTGCAAGAGTGATCAAAGATTTAAACTGTCATGTCGACAGTAAGCTGGGGGAACAGGCTACGTGGGGGCCTTAATAAATCTGCCCTTGACTTATGGCCGAACTTCATTCAGCAGAAAATTATTTCTGCAGCATATTGAGTGCCGTGCTCTGATGGAGACAGAAATAAAAGAAAGGTGGAAATGGGGAGAAGAGACTGGAAATTCAATCCACATGTGGTGGGGAGGACTCTTCAGTAAATTCTTTCTCGGATGAAATAAGAAACAGAATGTGTAAGACTCTCAGAATATGGTACATTCCTTTTACTAAAATGTCTTTGGGGAAGAACATGGGCAAGGAGTGATTCTCGGGAAAGACTGATATGGAGGGGAGGGGGAAAGAGGGAGAAAATCTTGGTGATTTAGACATGATTGTTCATTTATTTGTTAATTGAGTTAGCCAGGCTCTATGGAGTGCTTACTAGGAGTGAGATGTTGGCTATCAAGATGCGCCTCATGTCTTGAGGGGTTCACGGCGAAGGAATTAGATCCACTCTAAATTTGTCCCCTCCACGCCCAAGCTCAGTTCAGTCCAGCGCGATGGAGACGCTCTGCTGTCCAGAGGAGCAAAGTGCTGCAGAATCTTCTCTGAATAAAGTGTGAGAGCACTAGTCAGATTTTAGGTATCACAGAAGCATCAGCACGTGTTCCCAATTCAACATAAAGAGCAGACTTTTCAATAATTTGAAAGGCTGATTTTAAAAAAAAGAGACATCTCTCTTTTTTTGATGTTTATTTATTTTTGAGAGAGAGAGAGAGACTGAGAGAGAGAGAGAGAGAATGAGTGGGGGAGGGGCAGAGAGAGAGGGAGATGCAGAACCTGAAGCAGGCTCCAGGCTCTGAGCTGTCAGCACAGAGCCCGACGCGGGGCTCGAACCCACGAATGGTGAGATAACGACCTGAGCGGAAGTCAGACACTTAACCGACCAGGTGTCCCCAGACATCTCTTTCTTAGAGGATATGTGATTTAAATTTTCTTATTGCTTTTCCTTATGACATTTTAGAAAGAGAAGAAAGGCTTAAGATTGGGGGACTCGGTATTTTTCAGGCCAATCCACGAAGGCACTAAGAGTCCTTTCAATCCCAGACCAGAGATAATTTGAATTCAGGAGACGGTTTAGGAGGCAAGACTTGTCTTTCTCTATCGGTTTTGAAGCTATTGGGAAACACTCAAGAAGATAATGAAGGCTTTTCCTCTTGTAAATAATTTATTCACTGTTTGTTTGTTTGTTTGTTTTTGTCTCCCTATACTTTCATTCCCAGAGCTGTAATGAGTTTTAGGAACAGAAGGTGTCAGATATTGGCTTGTTGTTCTTGTTGAGATCTCCAAATTCATGACCCCTCTGGGCATTCTAGGCGCAGATAATACATAATTTACAGAGATCTGCAGCTTTTGTGTTCTCTTCCCTCCAAGTTTTGGAGCTTTTTGTTCAAAGGGATGATTTGTTTCTTTGTAGTGGAACCAGCCACATTGAGTGGAGGATCTGACACCCGGTGGTATCCCGAGCCTTCGCAGAACCTTGGTAACCATGCTGCACATTTCTGTGAGCTGGGCTTGTGGGTTCTCCCTGTCTAGGGAAGGAGAGAGACCAAGGCAGAACCAGTCGGTTGTCTT